TAGAACATTAGTTCTTCATGGCTGGGAGGTATGTTTATTTGGTATTTAAATTGTTTGTTTCTTTGCTTTTTGTAGTATGGTTCAATGAATGTCTTGGCACATGCATCTTCATAGGTATCTTGATTATTTCTTTTGTTTTTAAAGGATGTAAAATGCAAGAATATCTTGAAAATGGCCCCTTTTCTTATTATGAAAATAATACATGTTGATTGGAACTTAGTATAGAAAAGTGTTTCTTAAAGTGTTTGTTTTCAGAGTTTTTGCAAGTACATGATCTACTAGTAACAGTTTGGTCAACTCCATTTTAGCCTTGTTAATGTATATAGGCAGCAAATGTAAATATTTATTTTAATATAAAAATGGCTCATATTAAGTGTTGCTTTGTGTAATCTTTTTCCACATTATCTCAAAGGTATTTTTCTGTTAGTAGTTACAGGACTGTGCTGTTATTTTTAAAAGCTATTTTGTAATCCATTGTATTGATGTGCCATGTTTTGTGTAACTATTACTATTATTGCATATTTAAATTGTTTCTTCTAATTATTATAAACATCCCTGTAGTAATGAGCTATTGCTATATCAGTTTCTCCTGTTTTCTTTCAATTTTGTAATTATATCCCAGGAATTTGTTCTGAAAGTGAAAATTTGGAGTCTAGTGGGTATTTGTTTTTGGAAATTTGCTACCTGTTGGCAGAATATACTTCAGGGTGGATGGTTGTGTCAGCTTGTACTCTTACTCACAGTACCTCTGAGTGCTCATTTCCCTGTGTTTGCTCTCAACCGTTTGTTATCCATCTTTTAATTCCTGAATATCAGTTAATGAACAGTTGCATTTTCAAAAAATTAATGTTACCTATTTATTTCCTTTTCAAAGCAAAACAGTTTTCTCATCTATTAAGGGCAAAAGATGGAGGAAATGAGGACAAAGGTTACTACTAAATAGCAGCAAGAGATGCCACATTGCTCATTTAGATTCTTTTAGGAGTTAAGCAGTTTTAAAGAATAATTGCTTGCATATATTCCACAAGCGAGGTACCCCCAAAATTAGATGAATATTTCTGTTACAATTTTTATAAAGCAAAGTCCGTTTTGACTGCAGAACATACTAGCAAGAGTCAGGGTTATATGTGGTGTTACGGAGGCCAAGTTTGTTTGAATTTCTGTTCCACTGCTTAGTAGCCAGGTAATGTTGGGCAAACTGCATAAGCCTCTCTGAACCATAAAATGGTAATAATAGTATCCTCATATAATTGTTTCATTTGAGAATATGTGTGTGTGTGTGTGTGTATAATATGCTTAGCATAGTGCCTATACATTCTAGACACTCAAAAAATGAAAATCACCATTATTTGTTGTTGTTCCTACTCCTGTTACTATTATTTTTACTACTACTACAGTCACCATTGTTACTTTTACTATTAGTACAAATGTTCTTTCTCAATCCTTAATTTTACTTGATATAAATTAAAAAACGAAAAGCAAGATAGTGAGAAATAGTTGTAGTAGCAATTTCCTTAGGCATATGGGGTAGAAAGGGGACAAAGTTGTGTTTCTGTCAATGTACAGGAAGAAACAGAACTTAGAACATGAATTCTTAAGGCAGTGTTCACTGATGGACTGATACTTAGGAAATGACATCTTCCTGTTATGTCTCTCATAACACGCACTACTGAAATAGTTTCATTGTAAACTGCATACACACAGACAAAACTTAAAGCAAACTGGAGGTCTTAGAACCCTTATAATGGTCAGTCTTTTCTTTATTCCTCGATATTTATAGCAACATATCTCAATAGAAGCTACTCATTACAAAGAAGATACCTCCATGGGTCAAGATTAAAGGTAATTTGTTACATAGAGTATTGTTTCCAGTAAAACTTATTGTCTACATATCGGCCAGTTGCTTTCATTCAGGGATCACTTATAAGCAAATAGAAATACATATGTTTAACAGAATCAGAGGTTGATATTTATAGTGTAAAACAGGATTTTGCTTATACTACAAAGGAGTTAACATCTTAGACTAGACAACTGAAGGTCACTCATTACAATTTAAACCTCTTTTTAAAGGCAGTCTTTCTAAAATAGCATGTTAAAGAGAATGTATGAAGATAATTAGCCTTTTCTTGGTGGCTCGAGGTCATCACTGTAATGATCAGTGACATTACTATGTTACATACAGTGATACATGCAGGGATAATTGAAAGGTATGGGGTACTTGACCTGACAGTCAGTGGTTCCAGACTTATTACTTTTTAGGTATACTATCAAAAAGCGAAAGTATAAGTACTGAAAAATGACAGCTACTGAGAAAGGCATAGTCATTAAATGGTAAGGGGCAATTACTAGTGTCAGTGTTTTGGATTTTTTATATACTCACAAGTGATAATTAGAGAAGAGAGTATGAAGGTTCAAGTTCTTTTTTATATAAGAATTTCAAATTGCACTTAAAATACTATGACTCAGCAGTCTGTGGACACTATGATGGGAAAAATGTCAGCTTTATTTGCTATACACAGGATGATAAAATACTTGACAAACCTCACAGTGAAAGCCGCTTCACTTAAAAGAAGTAAGACTCTAGTTGGATAAGTTAAATAATAATAATTTTTAACATTTCAATCCAACACTCTGTGAAGCAGTGTATGTATATTCCTTTGATTCCTTTAATTCTCACATCAACCCTGTGAAGTCGGTACTGTTATTATCTCCATTTTCCAGATGAGGAAACTTGCAGCTCAGAGATGACAGGTAGTAAATTTCAGGGCCGAGGTTGGACTCTGGGCAGTGTGACACCAAAAATCCAGTGCTCTCTGCTACCTCTGTTATAGCAAATTGCTGAACCTAGTGCAAACACCTCTTTGAGACCTTTTTCCATGAGTAATGTGTGTCAGACAGCTAACCACCAGTGCGTCTGTCTCATTCATTTCACAGCATCACACATTAAACCTTCAGGTCTACTTGAGGCACTGGAAAGCATATTCTCTCTGAATATTTAAGTGCTCACAGAATAAAAACAGTGATAAATATATACTGTATATACATTTTTCATGAAAATGTATAAAGACTTTAACCCTCAAAAGGATCCTGTAACAATACACAAATTCATATGCTCTTCTATGTACATAGCTGTGAATAAGACTTAAAAATTCAAATC